CATAGTTGCACATCTAGACAACCTATTTTGTTGCAAAGTTTAATTTGGTAAAGAAAAGCTTAAAAATTGTTAGTTGCCTATTCACCCCCCCTCTAGTCAACCATATCGATCCTTTCACAAAGTATGTAGGAAAGACTGTTCATCCGTGGGGTCAGTCTAGATCCCTCCAGACGTAACGGCAGGGAACCAGTGGCCGGTCCGGGGCATTACAAGTATTGACCTAATAAAACGTCTTACATTATTTGTTTACAGAGGTAGTAGCCCGCTAAACCGTAAATTTTACTCCTATTACTTAGGACTAATTATTTGTTTGAAAGTATGGATTACATTTTTAGTGCTAATTTTAAAATTTGAGGGGGGGGGGGGAGATGAATCCCAAATGTTTCGAAAATATCAAGTGGAAATGAATGCATGACATGACTGGCTGGTTGAGTCGCAACATTGCAAGAGTGGTAGTATCTGTCTCTCTCTGCCACTGCTAGCTTAATGCCCACAGTAATTCTGATGGTACAGTTTCCCTTAGTTATTACTAGTGGAGGAACAACAACGGCCAAGGCAAAGGATCATACTACACTGGCAAGGATGCATGACTCGCTGTTTGTGCAGTACTCCCTCTATTCACTATTATTATAAGATGTTTTAACTCATTTCTGTTTGTATGTAGTTTATATTATTAAAATATCAAAAACATTTTAGTGAACGGAGGGAGTACAAGAGTAGGAGTTGTAGGGACGTGGCTCACTGGCGCACGGGCGCCCGATGGCAGCAACGAGCACACGCCCAAAAAAGGAAGGGGCGGCCCAGGCGCACGAGCATGCAGCCTAAAAAGGAAGGCACGCGACCAGGCAGCGCGAATCATGGGTGGATTGTGCGCCCCCCCCCTCCCCCCCGATCACACCTGCCCCCCCCTCTCGCGCTCCCTGGTCATACCTGGTCCTTCCTCTAGCGCGCCCTGCAAACCCCCTCTCCCTCCTCTCTTTTCTTTCTTTCTTGAGCAACAAGTACAGATCTTCTTCCTCCTTTCCTCCTCTTTTTCCTCCTTCCTCTTCCTTTTCCGCCCAGATCTGGAGAACCAGGCTGCATCCATGGCGTCTTGACAAAAAGCAACATCAAAAGGTAACCACCGTCCTCCAAAACCTCTGCCCCTCCTCTGTTCGTGATTTGACCAGGAATTTCAAAGAGAGTTCCCCCTTCATCGTGATTTACCTAGAAAAAAATCAAGTAACTCCCCCCACCCCCCTCTCTCGTAGGATTTGTAGGTGTGTGCAAAACACTAAGGAACTAATGATCCAATTTTAGGCAATTCTATTGCGTTGACTAAGCAACTGCAAAAACAGTCCCTCCATGCTTGATCATGAACCCCAACCCCCTCCATGGTTGGAAAACTAAGCAACTGATACTCCAATTTAGGCAATTGCAGTGTGTTTGTTGAGCAAATGCAAAAAAAGAGGGGATATGAACAAAAAAACCTTTTGTCCCTGCTTGAGAGATCAATAAGATTTGTCTGTTCCTGATTTGCAAAACTGAGCATCTATGTGCATAATGTAAGAAAAAAGTGGGGGAGGGGGGCTTTCCAAGCAACTCCCCTCTCTCATAAGGTTTACAGATGTTTGCAAACAAGAAAAACTGAGCAACGAATCCTCCTACTTTAGGCAACTCTATTGTGTTCCTTTAACAACTGCAGAACACTGTGTGTGTGGGGGGGGATATGAACAAAAAAAGCTTTGTCCCTACTTGAGAGATGAAGAGGGGTTGTTCTTTTCCTGATTTGCAAAACGAAGCAACTATATGCATTATGTAAGAAAAGGAGAAACAATTTCCAAGCAAACTTCTCCCTCTCATAGGATTTGCATGATGTTTTGTAGAAAAAACTGAACAACTACCATTCCAAATTAGGCAAAAAATCTATTGCATTCATTCATCAAACTCTAGACACACAGAGATAAAAAACAAAAAGGTGTGCATCAGGATGTTTGCATTCATCAAACTGCCAGTGTCTACATATAGTTCTCAATGATCCATAAAAGCATAGTAAAAACTGAAAAATATAGCATTCACACAAAAGCATTCAAACCTAGTTCAACACATATGCATCTCCTCTCACAAAAAAAGATGTGAAAAGTAACAGCATTGCATAGAAGATCTGCCTTATCCACACAAAGCTACTACTTTTTTTTTGAAAAAGGGTCTTCTGCCCACGCTTAGATCTGCCTAACATATGTGCATTTTCCCCCACTGTGAAAAAGTAGTTGTCGCCTCTTGTGTGCCGGTGGTAACAGAAACAACAAAATGTATGACCAAAAAATTGAATTTGTGTGAAAAATAACACAAAAGTTGCCTCTGTTTATCTTTACAGTTGCCTAAAAGAATGTATATGGTTGCCCTGTTTTAATCTAGTACTGCTTTTACCTCAATTTCTCCTCCCAACAAAAAAATATGTTTGTCTTTACTGCACTGTTATTGACAAGAAAAAAAATTGTTTCTGCAGGGTCAGCTGATAAAAAGAACGGAGAGGGACAAGAAGAAGAAAAAAAGGATGATTGATCTCAATGAACTACCGGTTGACGTAGAGCCTGTCAACATTTCGGTTGAGTCGGGTGCCCCGTTCTTAAATACAGCCTATAATCAGCAGGATATCCATTTGGAAGAGGGGGTTGGTGAGTCCCCAGACCCCGACATTGGCTCTAATAATTCTCATGTTTCGACCACCCATGTCGCTGCTCCCAACGCTGTAGTTGGTCCTGCTAATGCTACAGTTGATGATGCACTTGACTTGGAAGATGAAGAAGTAGGGTCACAGCCGCAACTGCCCTATGTTGGTATGCGATTTGACACGCTAGTGGGGGCAAGAGAACACTACAATCACTATGCTCTAGCGGTGGGTTTTTCAATCAAATCAAACACGTCCCACAAGTCGGCATACACGGGTGTGCTGGACAGTTCAATCGGTGCATAGGATACGTTCTCTGGAACCAGTTACCGGTGGCATCTATCCCTTGTGGGTCATGAGAAATGAGGCGCCGATTCAAGTGGTTTACTAGAAGTAACAAATGACAGTAAGATCATAGTAAGATAGTGCCATCGATGTTTGTTTTTCATGTTCACTATATAATGGTTAAATTCTCTTTAAGAAAAAGATGATACATCACTATATATTAAGGGGGAAAATTAAAATTTTCAATCCTTAACATTTTCAAAAATATAAAAATGGTCCCTTAACTTCAAAACTAGCAAATCTTAGTCCCTAATTGAAACCAGACAAGTTTAGTCCTTCCTGCTTCTTCGGGTGGTTTCCTGCCGACATGGAGTCATATGCTCAAATGTTTTAGGTGCTTGCAAATTTTCGTCGAAAAATATCATCCGACGAGCTCTACATGTGAGCAACAAAACAATGCTCAAAAGTGCTCAATACTTTGAGCAATGAAATCTTTTTCTTGCGTAGAGCTCCTCCTCAAACATTTTTTCAGCATGAAATTTGGCAAGCGCCTACAAAGTTTGAGCATATTTGATGTCACAAAATTTCATATTTAGTTTTCTATTTTTTTGAATTTACGGTTCATGAGGGTTTAGGGACACCCGAGAGCAGACATGGCCACCTAGGCTATACCTAGGTTTCGGCCCATGAGCTCACGTACCCGACACATCATGGGCCCCGCCCGACACATCGTTAAACGGGGCGTACCTCACGCAGCACGCCCGAGGCCGTGTCAGGGCCGCGTGGTCAGGCCCATGTTCCGGCACAAGGCGACACATTTCTTTCTAGAATTAATTTTATATAGGCCAAAACAGCCCAAATTGGCCCAGAATCATGTGCTCCATAAGGGATAAATGGGCCATAGGCCCAACGCCTTTAACTAATGTGCTGGGCCTGGAGCAGGACGAGATCACTAATTGAGAAGTACTTTTTGTAATACAAGATGGGAAACTCCCAACTTCCCAGCGGTGAGATTTTTCTTTTTTCGTAGATTTGTTTATACGAAATTGTTTATCTCTTAAACCGTGCATCAAAATCTTGAACCATTTTCATCGTTGGATTCCTCGCGCCGAGATCTTTGAAATTAGATCTCAGGTTAATAGATTTTGATGTAAAAAAAATTAACGAAAAAACCAAACAAAAAAACCAAACCGGGAGCATGTTTCCCCCTTTCCCGTAGTCATTTTCGTGAGGCACGTCGAAACTAAAACCATGCCTCTCGCAGAAGCAAAATCTCACGGAAGGAAAAAAAATAGATTTTTTTTGGTTTTCGAGAGGCAGCCGTGCCTCTCGCGGAAGCAAAATCATGTCTCTCACGAAAAAACACGTTTTTTCGTTTTCGTGCGGCACGACCGTGCCTCTCATGAAAGAAAAATCATGTCTCTCATCGAAGAGGAATGTATATATATTTTTTGTTATCGGGAAGCACGGCTGTGCCTCTTGCGGCAGCAAAAACGTGCCTCTCGCGAAAGCAAAATCGTGTCTCTCATGGAAGCAAAACCGTGCCTCTGACAAAGAATGAAAGAAAAACACGTTTTTTCCATTTTTGAGAGGCACGACCATGCCTCCCGCGGAAGCAAAACCGTGCCTTTGACAAAAGAAAAAGAGAAAACATATTTTTCGTTTTTGAGAGACACGGTCGTGCCTCTCATATAAGCAAAACTGTACCTCCCTCGAAAGCAAAATCATGCCATCACGTTTTTTCACGCATTTTTTTGATAAAATGTTAAGAAAGACGGGTGGAAAACAAAAGGAAAACACCCAGAACGCAATATATGACGACGGTTGAGAGCGCGCCAAATGGTCTCAGGCCACCCATGTGATTGGTGGGCGTTGCTGTCGGCACGGCACGGCCCGTCCCGTTTATAAACGGGCTGCCGTGGGCCATGGCAGGCACGCTTAATAGGGGCCTAGCTGTGCCGGCCCATTTGGTCAGGCCACTCTCTCTCCAAGCCCTAAGGCTCCACGCTCCCCCTCCCGGCCGCCTCCGCACTCTGCCTTCGCAGCCGCCGCCGCCGCCGCAGCTATGGGTGAGCCCCTCCGTCTACCAGCTCCTCTTCCTCCCGCAACCTGGCCCGTTGCCTTCTCGCACGTATCATTGCGCGCTCGTTTTGATGGATTCGTGGTGGCAGGCGCGTACAAGTTCGTGTCGGAGCTATGCAGGAGGAAGCAGTCGGACGTGATGAGGTTCGTGCAGCGCAGGGCTCTCGGCTCCCAGGCCAAGCAGGTTCGCTTTCCCTCTTACTCCAGATCCGATCCTCTCCTGTGTTCCTTGTGCGATGCCATGGCTGGGTGCATCTATGTCTGTGATTGCTGGCCTAGGCCGAGTAGTTTTCTTTGTCTGTATTTCTGGTTGTTCGTTGTGCGGGGAAAATGCGTCTTTTCTGCCCCGTCGATGCTAGGTTTAGTTTTAGTTGATGGGAGTTAATTCCTATGCCATTTTTCTGCAATGAACTACAGCTGGTCTTTTGGAACAGATCCGAGCTTACTCCGGTCATGATGCCACCAACAAATGTTTATAAAATACACGCGCGAGGAGACACTATCTGGTTGTCTCTTGCGTTAACTACCAATTTTACAAGCTTTAACCGCTTGTGTTCATTGCCCCGTTGTTTCCGAGTAGTAATTTGGACCACCCCATTCAGTTTATAATATCTGAAACTTATGTACTGCGGACATAGTTAATTGCATCATTCATGTCTAAATTCTTGCCTTGTTTCATTGTTGGATGCCTGTTTCTGTTTCTATGCGAGCCTTGCACACTGAAGCATTTTCATTGGACATATACACAGCTAGTTCCTTGGGTTCATACATTGGATTGAGGGTTCGATTGCTAGTATTAGATGCTACCATTTGGTAAAATGTTATTGTCCGACCCGCTCCCTTCCGCTCCCTCCCGCTAGGGTTCCGCCGCCGCCGCCGGCGGCGCCCTAGCCCCCTCCCGCCGCCGCCGGCCGCCGGCTCGCGCGCCCCGGCCCTCCCCGCCCCCCCTCCCCATCCTGTTCCCGCCCCTGCGCCGCCTCCCCGGGAGGTGGCCGGGGCGGCGCGCCCCTCTTCTTCCCTCGGCCGCCACCCCCGTGAGCTCTCCCCCGCCGCCGCCGGCGGGTGCCCCGGCGCTGGCCCGGGTGCTG